TCGATCAGTCTCCTCACTGAATCCAGGCCGAAACAAGTCCCGATCGACGGCCATCGTCGACCGAGCCAAGTCTCGGGTTGACCGTTAAGGAGGCATCAGCCTCCCACTGGACGCGGTTGTCTCTGAGGTCAACGGACACAACGCCCCCGAGCTGCTCTCATCTCTCTCGGGCTCTCTGGAGAGCAGGTCGCCTCCGATATCGGATGACCCACGCCTCGAGGTTTTAGAGAATGAGAACGAGACAAGTGATTCGATTCCTTCGAAACTCCGAGTCCTCAGAGACGAGACTCCGAGCGACACCTCAGCACTTCCTGAGCTCATAAATTCCCATCATGCGAGCGGTGTCATGTCGTTGATTATTCCCACACGGGAGAGGGACCGTCGAAACTCCAATACAGGGCTGCTCATATCGTGGGAGCCCACGGAAACGATCGGGAAACCTTCCCGATGCGGAAGCTGGGGAATTCCAGGCGGCGGGGAACAGGTGCTCGAATCGATAGGAACAGACGATGGGAAAGTGTGCTAGGCATAAGGAATGAAGGGGCAGAGAGCAGACACTTTTCCGATGGAGAGAAGATTGTAATAATTTCCAGGAATCGCAGGAATTCGGTTCGGAAGTCTCGATTTCAGATATGGATTCTCTTCTGACGTGGGAGGTAGTGAAGCTGGGGGAAGCGGTCGCCAGTGATTCGAAAGGCAGAAGTTGAATAGAAGGAGCGTCCGCCCTGTTCGTTCGAGATTCCAACAGAAGAAAACTCTGTTCTTCTGTTGAAAACTCTTGCTTCTCCCGACCGATGCCGAACTTGCGGCGAAAAGCAGGCACGCGGGCTGACAGGCGGAAATCTATCGTCCGGCTTGTTGTCAGGAGCAGACGTTCGCCGGGCGACAAATTACACTTGATTTATTCCGATAGCGGAAGGACTTTGTTGGTCGGAGTCCGTTCGTTCACCCGTGCGTCGGCTGACTTCAAAAGACAACAACACGAGTCTCCTGTGCTCGACAATCGCAGCAACGACCGAAATGCGATCAGTGGTGCGGCGGAAGCAGGAAGTGAGCAGAATTCCCCAAGTCGTTGCAATTTCTCTCCGTCTGGAGTCTACTACGCCTCTGACCCGAATCTTCGAGATTCCGGGGACTGTGTCGCTACTTCTCCCCTCCTGAGGGTGCTCTCTCTCTTCTGTCTGCGATTGGAACACGACTTCTGGGTTCTGGAACTCTCGATCGAAGAGAATCAATCCTGGTCTCCTGAGCGGAGATCTCCACAACGCTTCCATTCGTAACGATCCTGGTAGCCTTCCCTCTCCGCAGAGATCCGAGCGAGCACTGTCATCGCTCAACGTCCTCGTGCCCTGAAAATGTGAGAGGCTCTCCCGCGAGGAAATTTTGAATGGGAGCTCTCCATGAGTACAGGCTCGTCGTCGGAGAACGCGCGGTTTTACTACGATGACAGGGCTGTCCTGGAGATTTCAGACAAGGCGGGCAAGAGCAACGGCTTAGCTTGCCGCTACCCCGGCTGGTGGTCCTTGGGCGCAGCCGAGCAACCCAATTAACTCGCTGCGTAAACGGCCGCCCACCCTCACGGTGAAGGATAAGCCCGCTCCCGTCCCACGAACTCGGCCACCGGCTCCCATAGGAAACGAGGCTGACAACGTAGGCCGCTTTTAGCGTAGGCATCAGGAGCGTTCGGATCGCCGGTCGACCGCTCGGTCGGTCGTTCGGTCGCGCTCGCAGTTCGACCATCGGCACTCCTCTGCTATTCTTAGAAGAAACGGTCGGTTCGGAGGTCCCGATCGCCATTTCGACAGCCGATGCCGTGTTTAAATATGCGTTTGGGAGGAACGCTGCGAGAAGGTTTACCGAGCCAAAAATAAGCCCCGGAACCATTTATTCTCGATAGCGAATCGTTGCTTCGTTTAGTAAATCGTCGTCGTCGTCGGCGATGCCTTGCCGTGTATGTCGGAAGCCTTACAACGTCCAAGCATCGGGACCCGATGTCGGCTAGCTCTCATATCGCCAGAGGACCGATTCCGGGATTTGAATCCCATGACGTCTAATCGGAAATAGCGGCCGGAAACGTCCAAACAAGCTCGCACCCCTGGAGATGTTATACATTCGCCCCTCATCATTGGAGGAGGAACGTCTCCGGTTCTGTCAGCCGGAGGCGGTGGAACAGGAGGGGGTTAGGCCGACCGACGTCACCGATACCTTGCACGTTTGTCAAGCGTGAATCACATGAGCCGTGCGAAGCAACCCGGGAATAATAATAATAATGACGTTCCATTGTGTCGTTGTTGCATCCTGCTAACCGCGAGGGAAAGTAGGAATGTTTTCCACCTTTATCGTGTGGAGAGCCCGTTCGGAGCACGGCAGAGAGCCACCTCTTCGTCTCCGTTCATCCTGGGGGGAGGAATCCCGAGCGTGCCTGTCTATCTGTGGGGGTTGAAATTGTTACGCTCCAAGTCCTGGAATAGACTCGCGGCGAGGAGCATTCCCGAGACAAGTACGCCGAAAAAGGGAAGGCGAATCCCGGGATGAAAGCGAACGCGAGTGCTCATGCGCGTCTACGTACTCGCTCTGCGATCGGAGTGACGGAAAAAGCTCAGGACGAGGGAAGGGGGACAGAACAGTTTTTTCTCTCGGGCTCCAATCCCCATAATCGGGGAATGTCACGTATCGCGTATACACAATCGCTCATGCTTCCAGAGTTCCAGCGTTCTGTCACTAGTCCAATGCGAAAAGCCGAGTACGATCCGCGAAACCTTTCTGCATCGATTGTAACCGCGAGAAATCGTGGAAATCACACTGCTTCTCCGACGAGGTACTCGCGGAGATTGTCACGCGGCGAGACAGGTGTCGGGCTGAGCAACGAAGTGGAGAAGCACGGTGGAGGACCAGACCTTTCAGCCAAAATAAAAGTAGTCGAGCGCCTGCAGGACAGAAAGTACGCGGAACCCTCGGAGCATTTCCTCAGAATGGCTTCCAAACGCCGGAACATCGGGAAGCGAAAACTCTCCGTTGTATCTCCGCACGGTCGCTCCGGCGTAGAAAGTCGTAGCGTCGAGTCAAACTTTCAGCAAACAAAGCGGACAGACACATGAGTAAACGCCCCGAAGCAATTCCGAGAGGAGAGCGCCAACGTTTCGCCCGGACTTACCCGATTCCCCTTTGTTTCGTAGAAGCCATGTTTTTCTCCACTTCGCGATGGTCGTAGAGCGATGAGCGGACATCAGAATTGCTCGGCAAGCTTCTTGACTTTCCCTCGGCGAGGAGTCGGTCGCCGGGATTATGCAAGCCGTTTCCTCTCCTTCCGAAACTCGTTGCAAGTTTTTTGTTTGGGGCGCGTCGTAACGGGTGCAAAAGTCGTCCGAGGGAGCATCGTCAGAGCTGCCGTCACCGAGTCGACGTCGACGACCGCTCAACGGACTTTCGCTGCGGTCCGCGCTTGAGGAAAAATTCCTGGAGCACATTTGATGAAATGTCAGCTCTTCTCCAGGAAAATGGAAACGCGGCTTCGCCAGAGTTCCCTGCGCAATCATAACCTCATCAGCGGACCGCATCTGGTCCGAGAAGAATTCCGGAAACAATGAGGAATTGGGGAGATGCCCCGACAGAAAAGCTTTTCTACTTGGAAAGGAGCTTAATGTTTCCAACGAGATTGCGTTCTCTCTCTCGAGATCTTCCGGATCCGACCGATTGCGAGTATTCCCGCTTCCTGATCGAGCTGAACAAATGCGCCTTCATTGTTCTGTCTCAGTCTGGATCGAATAGCTTCGGTCGCTCTTCAGGGAACATTGATGCCATTAGTGTTTGCCGATCCAACTTCGACTTCATGTCTGAGATTAGAGATCAAGGGAGCTCGAGTATCCGTCGTCGTACCACCGAAATAACTCTGGCGAATGTTTCCCCTGATCCAGATTCAAATTCCTCTGATAGTGCCTCAACCACGGATCCATACTTAGTGCATTTCAATTTCTTGCTGTATATTCCAAGGCGAAGTACGCCGGCCACGCGGCTCTCTTGTGATTTCGATCGCCGCAGAACCGCGCCGGACTTTGTTTCGACCCCCAGACTCACTAAGGGACGTGCAACCTGACCCACGGAGCGCGACAGCTCCCGGGAGAGCGAACGAAGCGAACAGCATGAATTAATTCGATCGACAACCCACGCAGTCTCCGGGAAACACGAACGACGAAATTCTCGAGCGCGTTGATCTCTTGGGGCCGTGGCAAAAATAACGACGAGTGACGACGCAAAACTGAGCTTTACGAATGAATAACTCGGCGGCTTCTGCGAACGGAACGACTCGACAGATGACGTGATCGCCTCATTTCGCGGGACACCCCACGGTCACCGTTTTTTTTTCATGGCGTAATTTCTGATGTTCCCTTTAGACATGCGTTCCATGCAGCTGACTTTAGGGGGGTCGATGAGACGACTCATTCGAATTACCGCGGACGTTCGACGACGGAGAGTTCCGACGAGAGCTCTCCGTCGACTTTCGGCTTCGACGATAAATTTGAATTAGACTTTCATTCCACGGGGATTATGGGAGCTCACGTACGCGAACAGCCTCCAGAGGGGCGTGTAATTTGTGCGTGAACATCACGTTTTACGAGACCCGCCTGCAAACCCTCCAGCAAAAGGGCTCCAATCGATCAGTTCTTCAAAGCTCCGGTGCTATTTTCAGCATGCTCTCAGCGTAGAACACGCAGTTCCGCTTGTATAGAAGCGGTCCCATGACGTGACCGAACCGCAAGCGAGTTCAGGATAGAGAGCTCGCTTGGCAAACGATTGAAAGCCAGGAGCATGACCCTCGTCGATCGACGAAAAAAGAAATCGCTTACAACTCCGAGAGGCCCGCGGAAATATGCTGCACTGATGATCGATATCCAAGATGTTTCGGCAAACCGAACTCAAACGCACGTTTCGTTTCAGGTCATCGAGCGCTTCCCCACCCAGAAGAGTAAAGTCCACTCCGAGCAATCCTCGTCTCCGGTGCAATGCCCGCTTGCAATGTGTCGGTGATGGCAGCGCACCACGGCAACCACAACCACCAGGCCGTCGGCCACCAAGGCCCCCATGTTCCCCATCCTGGTCATCATCCTTCTCAGGGACATTTGGACCCGAACAGCGCGGCACATTTTAAGCGACAGGTCAGTGATTTATTGGCTCCAACCAACGGATTGTTTGACGTTTTTACATTCCTGCGTCGCATCGTGTCGCCGACGCCTCGCAATGCATGCCGCGAGATGGCCCTCGCTTCACCGACAGAATAATCATAGTGTTCCCCAGCTCGAATGACCATAGATTCCATCTAGAACCCACGTGCGAGAAGCTTTCGCAGACCCCCGAGTGTCCTGGCCCATGGTGATTTCTTCGTTTCGATTCCCAATAATTCTGGAACTCGGGTCTTGAGCTTGCGCAAGCAAAAGGATCCCGGACTCAGAATTGCCTTCCCAAGATTTTGGTGGAAATAAACTCCACACTCGGAATGGAGCTCGCTCCCTATTCGCGAAGAAGACTGCAAACCCGATGGCTTCCGACTTGCGGATGTCGGTCGACAATAGCAACGGAGAACGCGAAAGAGGCTCGAGTTGAGAGCGGGCTCCGTGATGGGGGAGCAGCACGATACCAATGAAGTAAATAAAACACCAACTCCGAAAGGAAAATGAACGACGCGACGGAAGATTGTTCGGGGCTATCCTGGTTCGGCACAGGCTCTGTCGGCGAAAAATCGAGGGAGAAGGGTATGGTGGATTCTCCGTCTCTGACGATACATGGACCCGAAAATTATTTCGACTTATTCTCGGAACGAAGCTCAAAAGAGATCGACTCTCGTGCAAAAACCTATCAATTCACAGCTCAGGCCGCGGCCAAGTCCATTCAATTCCGAGCTGCGGCTTGGAAGGAAAATAAAATAGATCCCGAAATTTGATTTGAGCATCATCTTCCTCCCTTGATGGAGTTGTTTGACGCTTGATTGAACGAACGCAGAGAGCTCCGGCCGGCAGGCAGGAAGAGATGAGAGCGGTCATGAGGCCGATGCCGATCTGATGTTTTCGTCCCGGGACGGATCTCAACAGCGTCACGGCCAGAAACGGCTTCCCAAACGGCCGTCGACTGGCTGGGGCAGAACTTTCGGGATAGGCAGCGCTTAGCCGGGCAGCAGTATGCAAGATAGAAGGTCCAGTTACCATAGGCTCATACTCTGTGACTGTGACTAATGACTAGAGCTTGGAAGTTCAGGCTTTCGGATTGAGGCCTTCTAGGCGCAGAATCCTAGGTACGATTTAGATATTTTTAGGCACGATTTCGTTGTTTTCAGGCGCGTCTCAAGCATCCCACGGCACTTTTAGGTACTTTCAGGCTCTCCTAGGCGGCCGCTCTCAAGCGGTCCTGGGACCATGCGTCGCGGCCGAGTGGTAAGCGCGTACCACCATGCAGCCGTGCGCCATGTTGCCATTGTCGGCGAGGTCTCGGATTCGATCCCGGAAACCGGCCGATATTTCTTGCTGGGAAATCGAGGTTCTCAATTGGGAAGTAGGGAAACCATTGGTCCTAGTCGGGATAGCTTGAGGAAGCAATCGCACCAACGCTGGTTCTGAGCGCTTGCACGTCCGATATGCGGCACCTCGTCAGGGCGAACGCCGTGAGCCGCCGCCGCGGGATTCCAACGTTCGCGCTCGAAAGTCAAATTTCAAATCTTTCGACTTTCGGGCGCGAACGTTGTAAAAAGCGCTTTGTTGTCGCGACTTTCATCGGGGATCACGGGGTTGCCCTCTGTTCGTTGATTGCTTGTCAGCTCGCTCCCGTCTGATAGCTTCCACTTAACCGGAGTGAGTTCTCCTCTATTGCCAAGATGTCGAGCGGATCCAGAGCAAGGAACAACCTCGAGCGGTACGTCAACGAATTCGGGGCAGCCATACTGACCGTCGAAGAAGATCTTCTCAAATGCAAGGTATGCAAGAAAGCCATCAGAGCGAAGAAGAAATCCCACGTGACTCAGCACCTCGAATCGAAAGGTCACACGAAGGCTCTCGGTCGCAGAGACGCGTACAGCCAACAGCAAGCCTCTTCAAGTTGCATCGAGCTCTCATTGAGGGAGAACATGTTCTCCATGGACCTGTGTCGAATGCTGGTGTGCTCAAATATCCCTCTCTACAAGGTTCAGCACCCAGAATTCAAACACTTCTTGCTTAAGTACAGCACACAGGAGGTACCTGACCACACGACTCTTCGGAAAACCTATCTCAGGAAGCTCTACGATGACGCCATCCGTCAGATACGCTCTTCGATCGGGGAACACCCTATTTGGATATCCTTGGACGAGACGACTGACGTGAAAGGACAGTACATCGTCAACACAATAGTCGGCCGGCTCGTCGCGGGACAACCGACGACACCGTCCCTGTTGAATTCTGACATCGTGGAGAAAACAAATAATACCACTGTGGCACAAGCTTTCATGAAGTCCCTCAGCATCCTCTGGCCTGACGGAATACAACATGACCGAGTCCTTCTCTTCGTAAGTGACGCTGCCTCCTACATGCTTAAGGCTGGCGATGGATTGAAGTTACTCTTTCCGAGGATGATCCACGTGACGTGCATTGTTCACGGAATCCACAGAGTGTGTGAGAAGATTCGAAAATCATTTCCAAAAGTCGACACGCTGGTTGCTGATGTCAAAAAAATATTCCGCAAGACTCCTTATCGCATCCAACTATTCCGTGAACTTGCCCCCGGAGTGCCTCTGCCTCCTCGACCGGTGAAAACCCGCTGGGGTACTTGGTTGGCGGCGGCGTTGTATTATGCAGAAAATTTCGAGATGGTACGATTTGTCGTAGACCAGCTTGATTCAGAGGATGCCGCGGCGATCGGGAGCGCGCAACGACTGATGCGTGAGTCCGGGATCCGATCCGACCTCGCCTTCATCGCGAGTCACCTCTCAGAACTTCCGGTCCTCATTGAGAAGATGGAATGCACGACCCTTCCACTGAACGAATCGTTCGGTCTTCTGAACGCTGTTACGACGATCATCAACTCCCTGTCAGGCCCGAGAGCTGCCGCCATCAAGGCGAAGTTCTGCACTGTCCTTCAAAATAACCCCGGCCTGGACACCATGCTTCGAGTCCAAGGAACGCTCTCCGGCGAGGACAGCGGCGAAAACCTGCACTTGCCTGTCACCGCGATCGCCGCGTTGAGCCACGCGCCACTGGCAAGCGTTGATGTCGAGAGGTCCTTCTCCGCCTACAAACTACTGCTTTCAGACAGGAGACAATCGTTGACTATGGAGAACTTGAAGCTTCATATCATTCCTATGTGTCTCGTCAGGGAAACCGATTCCGCAAGTTGAAGGCTTCGATAACGCGTCGGGAGCTGATTCTATTCTCTCGCTTCCCATCGATGAGGGGTAGTTCGCTTGTGCGGAGCTGTCCGGTTAAATTTTCGGTTCTTTTTCCATTCATCCTCAGTCTCCACAAAATAAATGGGGCGGCTAACTTACCAAGGCGCGCCTCCTTGCTGCCATGGTGGACTCTGCGCCACACGAAGGACTTTGAGGCACCACAATCGCATTTCAGGCTGAATCCCGGGCTTTTTAGGCATTCCAAGAAGTACGGTACTTTCTGGCTGTTTTATTGATTTCAGGCTCCTCGGTTTCCTAAATTATCCTAGTCATTTCGACATTTTCTCGTTGTTTCTGGCTCATCTGGTACTTTCAGGCTCCCTGAGTCATTTTAGGCATTTTCAGACATTATTAGGCAGTTTTAAGCTTGAAGGCCTTCCGAGGCTCTTAGGCATTTTCAAGCCTTTCAGGCATTTCTAGGCGTTCGCCTGAACTTCAAAGCCATACACTAATGACCTTCCAGACACTAAGCGGGGATCCGCAACAGCCGCAGAAGAAGTTTCCGCAGCAACAGATTAGATCTTCCGAGACGCACGAGCATGGGAATCGCTGCAGGCTCCTTCCTTCCGTGATGCAGAGTTTTCCGGTCGGTCGGCGACACATTGTCCTCGCGGTTGTCTTCGAGTCTCCCATCGCGGGTCATTATTTCTCAAATGCTGTGCCGTGTCGGAACCAAGCGATATTCTTGGGATTCTTCCCACGAGCGGCCTGTGCGGTCTGTTTCCACGCGAAAGACTACGGCTGTCTGTCCCGTCGGCCGTGTATCAATTCTTTCGGATGCGATCGGGTCGGCGAAGACCTCTATCCAGCGTCCTTAGGCCTTCCCAGCTCTCCCACACCAGGGTATTCTCCATAAACAAAAATGCATGTTTGTCATGCAGAGCTGGCTTTCGCAAACGTTGGCGTCGGGGCGGTTCTTCGATTCGTGTAGTCGTGGTCGATCGGAACTTGTTCGCAACGGTTGGTGGTGCAGAGAGTTCGATGAGCTGATCGCTCTGATCGATCCCTGAAACTTAGAAATGCACCGGAGAGGAATGGGGTGGAAAACTTCCTCTCCGTTTTCGAGCTCTGGAATGGAGGAGGAGGAAGGAAATCCTTGCGCGAATCTGAACCTTGCTGCTTTCGACTAAGTCGCAATAATTTGTCCTTCCAGGCGAGCATTCATCGAGTGCGTGACATCCAGATCCAATCCCTTACTGTAGAGAATGACTACGATATCGTTAAAGAAATCGGTGCCGGTGATTACGGGAAAGTCCTTCTGGCAAAGCACAAGGTCACCGGAGAAGAGGTAAGTCCGGTCTACTACATCAACTTGGCGTCAAACTGCGCACTTGCCACGATCTAGAGTCGCAAGCATCTGTGAGAATAAATAACTCGGGAATCGATTCGGCGGTGCGGATGCTTTCCGAGGGTCTTTCGTGGTGTTGCGATCTACTGAACTCGATGCGGAGGAGAAATATCGGCTTCGATCATCTCGCGTTCTCTCGTTTTGTGAGTTGTGGCGACGAAGCAGGCGAGCGGAGAACCGACCGCCGATTGATTGATACACTGACAAACAGAACGACCGACCGTCTGACTGTCTGCCTGATCGGGGTAGAGGGGGGAAGGGCGGTTGAGTGAGCCGAATCGAGAGAGTCGCAATCGAAAATTGAGCACATATCGACGACAAGTAAATTCACTCAGGCTCGGTGGCAGACCGTGTTGTTCGTCGGCATTTACGGCTAAGCGGATACAGCGTCTTCCGCGTCTATTATTCATGCGCTGTTCTCAAGGGAGACTTCTTGCTCCTATCCGTCTCCCGGTCTCGGTTTGTCCTTCACTATCGCGGACCTGCCAGCGGAAGCCAATTAAGTTCAATGCCGTGTCACTTCGAACCCGCATGAAAGCTAAGCCCCTCCCGGCGAGACGCCCCAATCAGTCATCGCCTCTATTCTACCTGACGGGCAGATTCCCCGACCGGTGGTCCGGGATCGAAAAGGAATAATCCTGTTCAGTCGTCTTCACGAAATCGCGGGAGACCGCCACTCCTCTGTTCGTGACGGAAGTGCCGAGAATTCGTGTCGAAGTTGAGGACAGCCGCGAGTCGCGAACGGAGTCGCCTCTCGAAATTTCTCTGTTTGTGCTCGTGCAGCGTAATTTAAGAATTTTTCGTGGTGCTTAGAAGAGGCGCTCTTCGTTCTGCTTATGGACGGAGGGAGAGTTGTTCGAGTCACGTAGTGAGCATTCGAGCATCGGGCGGCATCGGAATCGGTGCCTTCTGCGACAGAGCGGAGGGCTTAAAAATGCTAGTTAATCGCTTCGAGCAGTTTTATTGATAGCTAAGGATATGTTACGCCATGAAGCTGTTTCAGCCCGAGGGAGCTTCTCTCCTCATGTCCGCGGCGCCCCCTTTTCGTGACCCTCGGCTCCCCCCGTACACAAAGCTAATAATGCTCGCCAGATAGCAAACTTTACGACAACAGTAAAGAAGAAATGGCCTATACCACCGTCGGCTGAGCTGCTCTCTGCTTGTGTTTTGGTTTCCGTTTCCTCATTGTGATCACACAATTCGCCCGACGAGGAGATTTCGAGAACCTGCTGGAATCAGAGGGAATTGCTGTTTATCCACCGACTGGATCGCTGTCCCCGACGGCTCGAACCTACTCGTCGCGCCGTCAGAAGTCGGGCTCTCCGAAGTCGAGGAGGAGTGCTCCTCATCGAATCCGACCGTTGCAGATTGCAAGTGGATTCAGTCCGCTGACGGGACAATCACTGGTCATCGGGAAGAATCTCTCGCTGTCTCATCAAGCGCACCGAGGCAGCGAACCTTCCGACCGGAGCGAGTCGCGGCCTCGCCACGTCCAAACTGCGAGGGAAGCTTGTTCTTTCCCGCGGCGTGACATTTACATCCTCCGTGCGTACTCAACCCACCACGGTATTCGCTCGCACCTTTGTTCTACGGTACGGTCGCCCGCTCAACACGCTCCACGAACGAGGGAATCGGTATCAGAACAAAGTCACGTCGACGTCGCCTAGCTGGACGGATTAGAGCCCAAACTTTCTATAACGAGGGAACGATTCTCCTCGGCAAGGCGCCTACCGTCGACTGATTCCACCTCCCGCTACAGTTTCGGAAAATGCCTCCGTAGAGTGGAGCAACTCGACACAGAAGGGGTGACCTTCACACGGAAACTGTTTCGAGGCTGTGGCGAACGGCAAACCGAGCGGGAGCGCGTGTTTGCGCGCTCCCATAAGTCTCGTTGTAAGTCTACTTCTGAAAGGCGCCCAGTAGAGTCACGTGTTTTTCATGGTCTAGCCGTCGATCACAATGATGTACTCCCTCTGGAAGGAGTTTGGATGCACTTCTATTTGGACAAATTGATTTTCGTGGAGGGTCAAAGCGTGAGCTTGGTGGCTGCGGATATCCAGAAACAAGCTCAGATTGTGTCTGCATTCGCCTCCTCCGCTCCATCCCCGAAACTCTGCAGGAACTCTGCGGACGCAAATGAACAAATAATGAGCCTCCCGTCATGGCCGAAAATTGGACTGAATAAAGCAGGTCCCTCGGGCTCGCCTACGGCGCGCGGTCGGGAGGTCTCGCGTCCCGGATCCTGTCGACTCCTATTCCGAACACATCTGAGGCGTTCGGTCATCCGATGCTATGAACTGTGGAACAAAGCGGCGAAGAAGCGAATCATTCTCGCTCATTGATTACCACAACGCGTACTTCAATCGAACATCAGGCTTTTTCGCGAATTTTTCTGCGGGAATCAATCAGTCATGCTCCGCCACCGCACGCTTTCACAACCCACCCGTACACGCAAATTCCTCCGACGGGGAGATTCGACGGCGTCCATTCTCCCACGCGTTTCCGTCGATCGCTCCTCAAGTTTACAGGGTAACTCGAAGATTACACCGCCTCGGGGAATTGAACTGTCTGAGCTTCTGTTAAGGAACGCATGATTTCGAGCTCAGCTTTATGCATATCGGAAGACTCAAGGAATGTTTGCTCGAGATTGCGTATTCATGCACCGAGCGCTGAGCCTGGCGGCGGCCGCATACGAAAGGGAATTCGAATCGGCTCATTCTGAGGTCCTCAATCTGGATCTCGTTGAAGGTCAGCTCCGCGTGAAATCTTCTCGACAGAATACCAGCGTCTTGAAAGCTCATCACCTCCGGGGACTCCTCCCATCGAGCGAAGAAGAACCTCGGAGACAACTAAAGACGGAATACGATACGAATATGTAAAGCGACTCTTCGAGGTCCCAGCTTCAATAGGTTGATTCGGCAAGATACCCGTGATCGCGGGAGCGGAATGACTTATCCTGGTGACGATATCACGTGTCAGTTGTGGCCCGAATCTGTGAGGGGAGTCCGACATTCTTTGTTTGGGGCATCTTTGTTTGGCGTTTTTGCGGTTCGACCTCTCCGGTGATAGGGTGGCGCGAATTCCCCGCTCCGCGCGAATCTTGCTCGACACAAATCACAACTTGCCGCGGAATCAGCGTCTCGGCCAGATGTGTGAGCGGGATGTAATTACGGGTCGTTCCACCGATAGTTCCTGCCTGGGAGGGATTTGCGGAGAGCGGAAGAATGCGAGCGGAAGCTTCCGGCGGGGGAACGAACGAGGGAACATAATGGAAGATTGTTATGAATACTATTCTTCGATGAGATTTTTGCTCAACACGATTCGACTCGTTTCAGGTGGCACTGAAAGCCGTCCCTCGTGCCTCAACCACATTAAAGGATTTCCTCACCGAGTTTCATTATTCCTACTTCCTATCTCCCCATCCGAACATCCTCGATACGTACGACGTGTGCTTCGAAACTCCCGAACATTACTTCTTTGCCCAAGAGGTGGCGCCTCTCGGAGACCTCTGGCACTCAATTGAATCAGCGAACGGTCTCGATGAACAGGACCTCAAAGAGATTCTCCGTCAAATTGTTCCGGCCTTGGAATTTATGCATAGTAAAGATCTCGTGCACCGTGACGTACGCGCAGAGAACGTGCTGGTCTTCAAGAGTGACTTCACAAAGGTACGCTCCCGGACAATTCGAATGATTGTGATATGAGTAATAATATTGCCGGGGATCATAGTGATTCTGGGAACTCGAAGCTTGATTTTATTAACTGATCAATTCGATAAGGTACATATTTATCATCTAGTGGAAAAGGAATGGCTCTGGGCTCTGGTCTGATCTGAGACGGAGGCTCTGGACTCCAGTCTCTGCAAGGAGGAGGAGGAGCCGCAATGTACATAATCGGATGATGTACAGTCAAAGCCGCCTTGAGAGACTCATCGGGAGCAGGAGAGGAAATATCTCATAAGCGAGCGTCTCTTATATAAGAGGTGTTCAACAATGGACCCAATAGGATCGGGAAACTGAAGGGTGTCCTTTTTACGCGGAAGTTCCTCGAACTTTTGTCTCTTAGACACGGTGCTTCGACTGTGGCTCCATGATAGTCTTTCCACCTCGGATAAGACTCTGGCTCCTATAAAGACTTGTGTATGTACCGTGTATCGTTCCGGAAGAGTGACGCTGCGATTGTCGCAGAATGTCGGAGCAACACATCGTTCAAGTTAGCCTGAATCCGAACCGTCTCTGATCGTTTTGGCGTCGTCCCAAGATTGAGGGCCGATTCTCGCTAACAATAGCCCTGGGTGAGAGACGACAGACGCGGAACGGACGAGGAAACGCCGCCAACAAGAATAAACGCAACCACCGCTCTCTGACGCTGGAACAAGAGAATGGACGGCTTCGTGGGGATCCCTGTTTTTTATCTTCCTCCTTCCAGACCGGCGCGGCGGTCCGCTTCCGCTTCCCAAATCTCGAGCTAACTAGAATTCGGTGTTGGGGCATCTTACTCTGCTTGGCAATCGCTGACCGGCGAACGGACGGTCGAACGGACCGACTTATTCTGGGTCGGTGTATGGCCTTTGTCAGTCACAAGATGTATACGCACAGCTCTGAGTATTGACCATCGACCGTCCTCGTCGGCAGCCGCAACTGCCGCTGCTGCTGCTTTCTCACTCGCTCGATCGTTGGTAGCCAAGGCTACAGAGCGAACACATGAAGTTGATTCGTCTTCGTACGCCCTCGAATTGAGAGTCCCTAATTATCGGATTCGCCCATTGTCTGCTGAGAGAGCCGTTTCGCGGTGCGTTCTGGTTTAGACTGATGTTTCCTTTGGTCGAAAGCGCCGGCCAGAATGACGAGCGCTACCTTATCTTGGCCTGATTCCATCCAGGCTCACACAAACATAGCCGAACACAAACACATAATTCGAGGAAATTGTTTGGAGAAGCCTGAAATCTCTACCGAGCCCGAGAAGCTCCTATCGAGTTCCCCGCGATCGCCGAGGGCTCATTCAACGCCTCGAGAGAAACAGTACCCGCAGAACTTTCCCGCGAAGGCATCCCCGTTTGTTGAGGCCGGCCCACGACACCACTGAGAATGGAGATATTATCGTCGAATCATCGGCGATAGTTCGAGGCAATTCCAGGCAACTCCTGGAGTTCGCGCAGTAGAGGAGCTTCGCTCGCCGTGAAAGCGTCGGCGTATGCTGTATCTCCCCTGCTTGGCCGATCTCTTTTTGTTTCTCTAGCGCTAGCTGCTTGCGAGTCGGCAACGCCCTCGAGCCGTTGACTGCGGAAGTTCAACACAATCTCTGGAACCCGAATATCTTGGAACGGATACCGGTATAGCGTTATAGGTAGCCAGATGCCGAGGGAACGAGTTTCGGGAGGTTGAGCGGAAATCTCCGACGGCGATGTTTCTCGACGGCGCAGCGGACGTTATTGCCATGCACTACCGGATCGCAATACAAGAGATTGCGAGCTAGCGATGGACGGCCGAAAATAGACGTCCGGCCCATGCTGGCGTTCGACCGTGACGAATCTTGTTGAATGAACTGTGAATAACGAACGCATATGACATGGATGCATATTCCGCTTTCCTCATCAAGCTTCATCGAGCCGTTTCCACTCGATTCACCGAGTCTTGTTCGAACGGAATCATAATTCAATCTCGGGTATAGAAGTAGAAGATGGGCACGCTAGTTTCTCTCTGTAACAAAAAATTCGAGGGAGTCTCAAGCTATCGCTACGACCCGCTCCGACTTCCAGGTGAAATTAACCGATTTCGGACTGACGCGACGAGCCGGAATGCTGGTAAAGAAACGAGCTAGGTCGTTACCTACGTGTCCGCCTGAAATCTGGGAAATGCTGAGCCTTGAAGGATATTGCGTCGAGACTGGTTCCGACGTGTGGCAAATCGGAATGCTTGTGTTCATAGGACTTACAGCAAGGTGAGCGAACATATGTACGTTAGATACCGTGGGGGGAAGCACGCTGTGTATCTTGGGATGTGGCGTAAAGGCGTTGACAGGGTCGAAGATTCTCTAACCGCTAAGCCGTCGCCGCCTGGGGGTCTTCGGAGAGCACATCGACGTGATGAGCCAAAAAATTTTGGATCGATGACACCGTCCAACTTTTCCTGTATGCCATCAATGTTCGGGGACGCGTCGACAATCCAGAAAGTGAAACATTCTGTTTCTTTCGGTTTCGGGTCAGGTTTGCAATTTCTCTACTCCAACTTCACTCGCGAATCATTGAGGAAGTCAGACCCATCTATCTGTCGACTTCGGAGCGCTTCTAATCGTCCCGGGGCGAATGCCATAAGCCTTCAAAGTTACATAGACGGGGAGGAAACGACTGAGTGGGTAGACTCCAGCTCACGCTATACTGATTCTCGAATCAGCTCCGTCTTATCGATCTTTCGGAGTCCGGTCTAGGACCCTGAAGCCTTTGACGATTATTCGATCGTCCGCACCAATATCAAAGATATCGAAAAATGAGAGGTGGCCCAAGCCCGCAACATGTGGGTAGCTTGATCGAAATCCATCAAAAATGGCGGCAAGGCGAAAGTTTTGCGTGGAGACTGGTTTGCTCCACCTGCTCGAGAACGACCTCGCTTCGGTCATAATAGAATTTCTATCTCATCGCACAGATTTCCATGGGAAAAGGCCGATATCACAGATCCGCGCTTCAACGAGTTCATGGAATGGCAAAAACGCAAAACAACCCGAACGCCCAAAGAGTTCAAGCGATTCTCACCACGTTTGCTGAGGATGTTTCGACGGTGAGTGCAGGAGTTCCTTGAGGAGAGCGAGAACGCTATCTTATCCATTCTCACTGGATCCGTCAATACGGTCTCATCCCCGACGCGCCCGCGGGCCTATGGGAGAGAATAGCCGACCATACGTGATTGATATCATTCCGTTGTTCCGCAGGCTGCTCGAGCAGAAGCCGAAAAACCGTTATGAAGTGACAGAGGTGAACAAATATTTCGACGACCGTTGGCTGATGAACCGGTCGCCTCGAACGAGCAAAGTAGCTGAGATGTACGAGCAAACGGGAGGCAGCGGCGCGCATCTCTTGTCCCCCCACGATCCAGCGGGGGGATCACATTCTCGGAAGAATTCCTGGACGTACAAGTCAAGAGATGCAACACCTTCTCCCATCAATTGACCGCTCCTTCTGAGTCTCCAGTGCGACGTCTGACGTCGCAGTCGGAAACAACGAGGACGACGACGGCGATGCTGAACGAATACGAACGAAATAACTACATCTGTACAAGGCTTACATAATCCAATATGCATACAAAAGAGAGCGAAAGCTGCTAATAGACCTGCGAAAAAGGAGAGTTCGTCCGACGTTTTCGGACAAACCCGCCAATCGAGTCCCTAGAAAAGCTACTATTTTAGAGAGAATTTATTCGAGATGGCTCTTCGATGGTCATCCTCTGTTATGAAGCTAGATTTTTAGCTCTGGCGAATACAATGTTTCAGTGAATGTTATCTTCTTGTATAATAATTCAATGCAGCTCCAGTAATTAGGGGAAAATCGAGGAAAAGGTATTATCATTGTGACGCATTGTTGAGCCGTCTATTTCCGAAACTGTTATCTGTAAATGAACTGTAAAGCACAAGATGTGATCCTGAGGAAGAACGAAATAATTAGACAGTGGGAGAGATTATAAATATGCCCGTGTGAAAACTAAATAATGCAGTCAGTCAGACTGTGTCTTCTACACTGAAAGAAATAATAAGGGAAGCGAAGCGGCTACTCTGTATCGAGGTCGGACGAAGCCTGCAACGATTGACGAAATTTCGGAGAGAACGAAGAAGAGATCCATCACCTCGTTTGCCTACGCCATCGTATACAGCAGCGGATAGAGGTCCGATCCTCGAAGTCAAACGCCAAATTGACAGGAACGCTTGGTCTCTGTGAGACACCGTTAGTTTCTGAATAAAAGAATGGAATAGCAGCCGATAGAAGATTCCGTTCCACGTGACCGGGCGTGGCGGAGCACGACTAAGCAACCTCCATTGACTCGAGAATGGGCCTCAGCCTCTACCTTACCAGAAACGACATACATCGCTTCCAATCGACAGTGGATCGAGCAACAAATCCTCGATTTGGAGACTACGACCATAGCTTACTGAGAACGCTATAATTGCGAGAAAAATAAACTACCTTGAACGAATGCAGCGTCATTGATCCATCTTACTCGCCTGTTTGATTCGTTCGTGACTCCGTATCCACGAGCTCTCCTACGTCAGCATCGGTGGCGCTCACCGAGGGTTCCTGCCAGAGGCTCCGGTGAGGGAGCCCGTTCATGGCCCATACGGCTACTACCCTTTCCGACCAGGCCTTCGCCTTGAATGAATAAAGGGGCCTGGAAAAGTCCGCGAGGACAGAGGGCATAAAATCGTGACATTCAATGCGAAACCGCGCACCACCCTGGTTGCTATGAGCTGCGATCAGCGACCGACGGCGACGCCAGCCGCCGAGCCGTGAGGACGGGCAAGTCGCAGGCGAAGCTTTCTGAGATATTCACCACGATGGGCTCGAGGGAAGAAATGAAAACTCTGTCTAATGCGTTGACATCGACTAACACTTGATATTTATCTTCAATAATTGATGTTCCCCTATTACAAACTAGGTAGGTCTATTTACATTCATGGTATTCCTGCGAGATCGTCAGACGAGAGAATCTGTGATAGGAGCAGGCTGCTCGCGATGCTTTACGTATCGATGCTTGTTCCATCAACACTCTTTCTCTCTCATCATTAACATCGATGATCCTGCTATATTGGTTTCCCACAAGGCTCGCTCCATGGAGTATCCATCATCTGTCCCCCATGTTATTTGCTTGAGTCGATCCATGTATTGTAAGCAAACTTGTCATTCCCTTCCCGCATAAGGAATTTTCGTCGAAAAGCCCGCTCCCATGTCATTTCAGCAACGAAAACTCGTTTGCGACCATCTCGACTCACAACGACCGCCTCCGCTAGTGCCACAGGAAACGCTTCGCCTCTGGAGGCTAAAACATCGAGTCCATATCAGAGCGCCGATTCACACATCGATTTCAGAGTCTAAATGGAAACACCTGATCTGTGGATTACATCGCAGTTGTTACGACAGATCGAATGGCCAGTATTGCCTTGGATGCTTCTCTTCATCGGATAATCGAGGTCCTGCCTGCTCTAGTCTGTCCTGAGCGAGTAAAATCGAATGACATTTTGGTCCCGTGTGGGTCACCTCTTCTCGTCGATTGGTTTCGGACATTCACGTTTGATTTATCTTCGAACCGCTATGCTTACAATTCACTCGAGTTTGGTTCGATCAGGAGGAAAAGACGTGTGATATATTTTGTTTTTATTCTTATCATAATTATCATAATCATCGTAATATATCACTCATATCAATTATCGCTTGAATCGTTATTGGCTGATTCCTGACTCTCCTCTTCAAGTTCCGATTTTATTCCTTCCTTTATCGTGTAACTTCTATCACGCTCTTCAATGCTTCCAGAACTGACGCAATCAGGAGGGTTTGCACGTTAAGCCCTCTGTAAGTGGACGCAGTTGGTCGAACAGCTCCGGTCTGCGGATTTGCCGCTCTGTGGTCTCAGTCTCTCTCTCGGTTCAAGTTTCTTCTAGACCTAGAAACTCCCAACAATGGAGACGAGCCTTCACTCTGAATCAGACCAGCGGAGAGGCTCCAAATCACCGCGAAATCGAGGGGACCGCCTTGCTCTTGTTCCCCGATGCATTTCCAGTGCGACCGACTCTCCTCCTTCCCGACACTCCCTCGCTCGAATGCATGCGCGTAAAAGCGTCGAGCGGAGGCTCAATCGGTTCGGAGCTCGCAACTTTTGAGCGTCCCGCCGAAATACTTGCTCCACATTTATCTCATTTCATTCGGGACCCCCGCGAGCGCGACAATACCTATCCATTATCGAAACTTCGCTTGAACCAGCCCAAGACACACTTCCTTCATTACGAAAATTACTTAACAAGTGGTTGACCCATCCTCCTCGAAAGGTCGGATTGGGTTCAAGTCTGTGTTTTCTTCGAACAGTACATCGGACACGAAAATCACCATGCAATCCCCAAATTGGATCGAGCACTAAAAAACTATCGGATCCAAGAAGTCTTCTGAACACCTCACGCGTTCATGTTTCATCGACTGGAATCTGTAGCTGCGTCGAAAAATATCCCCATGCTCCGGCTTTCAGCGTTTCGACGAGATAATGAAATTACGCCGTTAGGCCGTCAATCCGCCAGTTTCCTTTTCTTTCGTCTCTCCAGGCTCAACCATCTTCGAGAATCAGTTCAGATAGGTATCTTATCGATGAAATGAATCATAGTTCTTCCTTCCGTACTTCATCGCACCGTTAGCCGAGCTCTCCACGAGCTCAAGCGCATTAGTCCTCCGTTTTCAGATGAACGGATGTTCGGAGCTATGCTCAACCGAAATTAAAATGCTCGGTCGCTTCGGTTGGAAAGAGTCAGCAAGACACGAGGCGCGAGTGATCTGACGTCGATTTCATGCTCAAAAACCGCCTGATCGGATGCTACAGGGCATCACCGCAACCAGCATCGAAGGTTCCGCCCGGGTTTAGGGAACAACCAGATTCCCTGTCCACCGGGTCATTCATGGAGTTGACCATCTGCTGGGTAATGTGGAAAAATTGCCGGGAAATCAATTGCTCAAGGGTAAAAGTTCAGTCTCAAGGAGCGTGGCTTGTTATGGCGGGATGGATGAAGACAGATGGCATGATTGATGACAGGAAATGTTCCGGGGAAATCGAGGCATGAGAGGCCGAGGATGTGGAGATCTAGTAGAAGGAGATTTGATGGCGAGGGAGCCGTATCATTTTCGGGCAAGACTCCTTTTTCCAGCGCGTATCGAAGTGCGAACCTAGGGTCAGAGCTGCCGGCGTAACTTAGCACAGTGAAAAAAACGCGGACGACGACACGGGAATCCATGATGCGGCGTTGTCTGTTTCATAGAGGCGGACGACCTTCGACCAAGGAGGGGGAAACGGAATATTCTTCCGAATTCTATTAGTGGGAATCGAGCGATGTCTCCAGAAAAAGAGTAGAACGGCCGATATGCGACCGCGTCAAGGATTCCTCGAACGTTAGATTCGGTACAGTAAGGACAGATACCGTTATCTAAGGAAATCACAGACAGTCGACAGTTGTTCGCTGGGTATCTATCCCGAAGGCCGACAACCTTGTGGCGGCACTCGGATTCCGGCGCGATTCAATCGAATCGCTCTCACTTCGCTCGGGGGACCCGGAAAGCGCAGCTTTGCTTGGATCTACGAGAGTGCTCACGTGCTTGCGTGCCCGCCAGCTCAGTTGCTTCGCCAACAATCCGCTACGAGGCCTTTAACCGAACAGAATGCTTTACATAGTTCTTAAAAATTTTCCTCCCAGAGCCTTGTGGAATCTCTGAGGGTTTCGTGACAACACAACCGAATGGGTCACTTTCTTTCTTTTGAGCTTAGGATCAAGGTACACGGTGTGGCTAGATCGTGTTGTGTCTACCGGTCGATGCAACCTTGCTGTGATGGTCGGAGGCTCCCGTGGTCGGACGTAGAAAAACTCAATAATGAAATCGAGAAAAGCGGGTGAAATTGATAACAACGGCGACAGCGGGAACGGTTATGAGATCTGCGTAAACAATGGTCGCGAAGTCGATGCGTACTTCGCGCTCAAATCTACCCGGAACTTTGCAGGATTGGTGAGTGCCGCTAGAATTAGAATCTACCGGTGCGGTCTCGAATCGGGGCAAGCAAGACGGGTCGTCGTCCCGTCAAATCGTCAGCTTAGCGTGGGAATCAGCGCGGAAGAGATTTTGTCCCGGCTGTACCGGCGAGCTAAACGACGAATAAAACGTCAAGGGATAATGAATGCCTCGAATATTTGATTGCTTGATAGATGAACGAAGAAATCGATGATAGAGATCGGATGGATTGCTGGAATGAGGGAACATGTCTCGAGATTCGTTGTTCGAGCGATCACCTGGGTCAGTCTAACGGTCATTTCAGTCAGTCACGTTCTTTCGCTCGTCAACGGTTCTTGTCGACAGATGAATAAATCTGTCTGACCTCCAGTCCCTTCAACCGACCCATTCTGCGCATCGTGTGTACGGAAGTGTATTTACAGCTGTTGAGGTTGTGTGCTCTAAACATCGATCGACAACTATTTGCTTGCTCAATGGTGATGACGATGTGACGGTCCCTGACCCCTGTGCTCAGCCGACAGGGACGTAACCGAAGGACCGTCACCGCCGAAGTTTCCTTCCATTGAAGCCGTTGACTCCTCGGGGGTCTTTGACACCTGCACGGAGAGAATAGAGCAACTTGAGAAGGCATCTCGGTCGTCGCGCTCCTTTTCGGTAGAGAGACACGAATGGGATATTCATTCTTATTCGTATTTCTTCCGTTCGCAGAAGAGTTTATTCCTCTCCATCCGACGGAGGGTTCCGAGTTCCCTCCATCGGAATCGATTTGATTGTCGCTTGCTTGCGACGAACAATATCGTTCCCCGCGGGTAGTATGAGCGAATTCCTTCCGTTTCAACGACGCACCGCCGCGTAGCAAACGGACGAATTGTCGAACCATCGAAATGTGAACCGCCCGCGGCACAGCAGAGGTTTGAGAGGGAGGACCGTAATGATAGTTGAGAGCAACTCTGAGGAAACTGCAGCCCTGCTCCGCCGAATTCGGCTGGTGGGCGAATGTACGGTGCATCGAGCGTGCGAACAGCTTCCACTCAGCGCATGATTTCGAGGGAAGCTCCGCGGGCTGTTCGAAGAAGATCTCACGGACTCATGCGCGAAGTCTGAATCCGTACCTCGGTGGTCTCCGGCAGATTTGGATGGTTGTTTTTGTGATCACAGGCTCCAGTCGAGCCAGCTGAGTGTTGTTGATGCTTGTGTTTGTGGTGGAAAGGCTGCAGAGAGAACCTTCTGTGTGTTGCCTTTCGCCCTCCTCTCCTCTTGCTGATGTGCGGATTTTCCTTCCGCATCGACTTGTTTCGCATGATCTGGGGAAGGATCGGAATCGTCAAGTCTGGTACCCGATCGAGATGGACATGTCGTCATAATATGTACCATAGGGCGATAACGATGATGGTGCTGATGTTGACTCGATGTCGCTCTCGTCGAAATGATGGAATAAACGTCCCCGCAGCTCACCTCAAGCTGTGTGTAGGCGCGGCGGAGTTCAGCCCGGATATCCTCCAGATCCATATCTGCAAGCGATATCTCGGCGATGTCTAATTCGCCATTGCCGACAATCGCCTGGAAACAGATATGAACGTGAATTCCTCAGTCGGGTCCCCGGCGCGGAACGGGTGCTTCGAGCGTGTTCCTATTTATACGTAGGCTACCTGATGTAATCTCTGAGCCGGGTCGATTCCAGATTCGTTCGACACAGCCGTTCCGGACTGGTTTTGCGCCGCACGTCCGCCTCTGATGTTTCCACCTCGGCCTTGCGCCGCAGAACGGGAGCACAATTTTGGCAGAAATATTAACATGAGCACCTGGAGATGTAGATATTACTTTAGTTCACGGGAACAGGGAGGTCTCGCCGCGTCCCGCGAAAGTACGCAGAAATTTCGCTTCTTCTTGTGACAGCGCGTAGAGGATCCAGACAGGAAGTAATCTCGAAAGAATAAAGGGATAGATTTGTGGCTAGTAAAGGCGAGGCGATTCTCCTTAATTGTAGAGGTCTTGCTCGAAAGAATGAAGAAGCATCCCTAAACAGAAGCCGGGGGGGGGGGATGAGGAGAAAAACTCAGAATGCAGAGCGAGAATGAGGAGGAAACGAATCTCGAACCTACCAGAGTGACAGTCAAGTGACACCTGATGAAATAGGCAACGAATGCGTAGTCTGGTTGTACGGAGTCTCCGAGAATATGCTTCAGCACGTATAATGTGGTCGAGAATATCAATTCCACCACTATCGATCTCGTGAGAGCCGTGGCCTCGGGAAACCCGTATGCGTTACGCAATCGAAACGCTAATCTGAGAGATAGAACAAGGAACAGGATCTCTGCACCCTCGGTGACATAGTCCCAAACCAACGGTCGGCAGCTCAAGAAGCGAAGGCCTGGAAAGTCGAAACGATAAGTCGCCGAGTTCACGACTAACGGTCCGGATCGGCAGCACGAACGCTGCGAGCGAATTATGCACGCACCGTTTGCGGTGGGTATCAAGTAGCGTGCCTGGCATCGCAATGCAAAAGGGATGGCGTGAGATCTACTCTTGGTGGGGAGATAATTATCCCAGCCCGACGCCATTGCGACCTCTCCGCACTGAAGGTCGGTGCGTGTGGCGTCCGGTAATTTTTGGCGGCGCTCAAACGGTCCGCGCGGTTATTTTTATCCCCGGCCGTGTCGTTTGTCAACTCACCTTGCGAATTGGTAGAGTTGAAGAGTATGTCTTCCACCGTCCCGCCTGAGGAGTCTGCCACCATCGCTGTCCATGCCATCATATATAACGCTACTGTTGAAACTAAACCTATAAGGTACCTGCGAAGAGAAGGCTTCGTCTTAACCTCAGACAAGCTACCGAGCAGCGACTTCGGATCGAATCGGGGCTTCCCGAGCCACGAGGCAAACATCGGTAGCGTACCTCAACAGGTCTTTGCTCCGCACGCAAACCCTGTGCGCCTTCCGCGTTTGAAATTCTGCAACAATTCTGTAGATCTTGAGGCCGATCGCGCCGTATAAGGTACTGAACCCGATTTCTCGGAACCAGGGTTCGAAGATGCAGCTTAATGCAGACGGCTCGAAATAGCGGATCACAATCTGTGGGGATGCGAAGACGATTATCGACACGCGCTTCGATGGGTTCGTGATGAGCTGTGCAGCCAATCGTGCCAAGCCGATAAAGACGAGGGACGGACTTACTCCCTGGTAGATGAGGAATGCTCCAAGGAGAATCGCTTCCAAGAGAATCCACATACTCGACGCAAAACATGAGTTTTTTCTAAATTTGTAGATAGCCGCCATCATGATGAGAACCACGCAACAGAATATCAACTGAGCGATGACTAGGCTCCCTGGAAAAGAGGAATCGGTTGTCGCTGTAGATATACCGCGGGATTCTTCCGATAGTAGACCCCGTTTCGCGAGCCCCTGTGTCGACACGGTCAGAATGACAGCGCCGATGGATATTCACAAAGTATTAGCATAAAAAAAAAGATCGAAGCGAGACCTCTGCGCGGAACTCACCTCGAAGGGTCTCGTTGTACTCGACGAAACAGGGAGCCTCGTCTTCACAGGTCATGCAGCCCGGTGGGCATGGAAGACATCGGAGATGTGGCACACTTGCTCGCTCCTACAACAGTGAGAAGTGAGAAACATGATCGCAGTCACCTGACCTCCTGAAAGTCTGCCGTTAGCCTTCGTCGAATTCGCCCGTTGATTCCCATTGTTCTCGTCAGCTCGTCTATTCATCGTCTCGCGGAGCCTGTGTGAAAACGGGAGCTCCCTCTCGCTGAGCCCTCAATTCAGAAGGAACTCAGTCCGACCCAAAGTTCACCTTCCAAAGTTCCCGACGCACCGTGTTTCCATGGAATGAGTAATATTCCCAAAGTAGGTATTGCCCTCGAGTGGAAGCTCAACGAATCGATCCCTGAACTTGTCGTTGCACAACTGTCGTGAGCAGATCGTTTCCTTATCGGGATCCTCTCGAAAACGCCTCGACCACCGAAGCTACCGAGCAGTATGGAGGGGTCCGCGAGAAAGAAGCGAGTGTCGCAAACGATACGTTTGTTGGGAGAACTCGGGCGGTGGGTTAGACGCGGTTATCTGTTGGAGCTTCGGAATACCAATGAGAGCGAACAACTCGTCAGGTATCCTAAGAATAGAAGTTGCTACGCTCCAACCGCAAAGAGGGAGCGAGGACACAGACGGCGGAGCGGGAAGGGCAGCAGCAAGGAAGGATTATCACCGAGTGGAGCGTTCCGCCATCAGGGAGTCTGGGACAGTGCTTCCTAAGCCGCTCGGGGCAGCGAGGAGAAATGGCGTAGGAGGCCCGCCCTGGAAGCACGGGCGATGCGTCGGCCTAGGAGCGCTCTCGGAGCAGGCTTTGGTCTCGAGTCGAGACTCTCGACGTGCTTACCGGTTCGCTTAGGTTCATGTTTTCAACAAAGTCCATTTCGAGCGCGCGTCCATTGATGCCGGGATCGGCATCGATATTCGACGGGAGGTAATATCCTTCCATGCATCGACAACGGTAGCTCCCTCTCCGGAAGCCTTGCTCGGGAATGAACTCGCACTGCCGGAGAACGAATTTTCGATCAGAGGTGGGTGCAATGAATCAAGGGGGAGGCTGCGGCTCGCCGGCTTGCGGGGATTCGGGACGAGTCGTTCGAACTAACCTTGCTGGTAGCGGTGTCGCATAGATGAGTATTGGCGAAGAAGGGATCGTCTCCGGGACACTGATCCATATCTAGGTGGTTTAGGTTAAGGCTCACTGTGGATATTCCGATCATTTTTCGAGACATTTCTTCTTCCGGCACGCTGTCGTTCTCAGCTCTCCTCGTGCCCGCGTTTCCAGGTTGGGTGTCTGCCGTCGAAGAATTGCTAACGCTAGACACCATGATGGGGGCAGCGTACGTTACGAGCCAATGTCCGCTATATTCACAGTCGTAGTAGGGGGAGCTCCACAGGCCCTGGGCATGCTTCACCCTGGTGAACCCGTCCGAATAGCGGGAATGCAGTTCGCGGTACCACCTTCGCATGTAATGAATAGACTCGGATCAGTCGGGCCCAGCCCATGCTCGAGGAATCCGGGCACCCACGGCAGGGAGTGGCTTCCCCGATATGAGCTTGCAGTCCATCGTTAGTGGGACGTACCAGCATTTGTTAACGCTCTCATTCGAGTCGTAACTGAAATTCGAGTTGAACTGTATGTTGCGCGTCTGTTTCTGTTGGTAGGCGTAAACGTTGACTCCTTTGTCTTCGATTACGATTCCTGATCCAACGATCATTTTCCCTGGAAAAGACAAGCATCGTGGAATCATTTTTCTCTCTGATTGCAATCGGGCATGCTTGCAGACAGATCGATCGACCGACAGCCGGACAGTCGCTGGGTTGGCGAGCCGGTCGGTGGGTCCGTCTGTCTCTCTATCTATCTACCGTCTGCGGGATGGACGATGGCGCGGTCGCTCACAAGACCGTCATGCAAAACGCGATCACTTGCGCGGCCTGAACGATGTCCCACCGGCCCGGCGGGCGCCGCGCCGCCGGCGCCGTAGTGGTTCCGGTGTTCTGAGGCTCGATTTGTTATTGTTAGAGTTCGGTCTGTTACCGGGTGGCAAACGAGGCCGAATCATTCGCTTCGGTCGACCGAGGAGATCATTTGTGAACTCAACGATGCTTCCTCTCGGCATCTTGCCGTTCTTTCGCGCTGATCTGCGACTACCGAAAAGACTTGTGCGATTGCAACACTCGGCCGAAGGAGCGAGAGCGTCGATGATGCTGAATTATGTATCGGACTCCACGCGGAATAGATCTTGTTTCTCTCCTCGGGGAGGGACGTATCGCTATCGTGCGCATCGGCAGTAACAACAAAATGGGACTTTGAATCTCCTCTCAATCAGCCATCATCCATAAAGATAGCTAGACGCGTACAACTTCGGAGAATTCTGATGTATGTAAAACACCGATTTCGGAGGCGCACCGATAAGGCACGGAGAGGGACGAGAACCCACTCTCGGACCAATGAGATGTCCGAGAGGCTCTCGATAGTTTTTTCTGGTGCCATTCGTTTTCTTTTTTCTTTTCTTCGAATCCGTACGGAACACTCTGTCGCTGAGGAGTCCAATCCGATCACATATACTCACCATCACTGGGATCGGCCAGGTTCGCACTCGTGAGTGCGGAATACAGTGAAGCTTCATGATTTCCGTTTTGGCTTTTGTGGTGCTTGGATGTGGACTTCTCTCGGAAGAGGCGGGCCAGGAAATCCGCTGTTTGTCGTGCAACTCGCTCCGCACGATCAAAAATTTGGTATCTGAAAATTTCGTATCCAACGATTATTACGGCGTCCGTCGATGACCCCGGAGGGTCCTTCCTCCCGAAAACCAATGCTAGGAACAAAGCTTGCTCTATCGCGATTCGGCGATTTTATTGCCGCGCCATCGGGATGAATTCTCCGGAGGAGATCCGGACGGCGTAGATGATCTGGATCCAGAGACAAGGACCACGGAAATCGAGCTATGGAGATACGAGACAAGCAGAACGAGGTCAACCTGACACGGGAAGGAGTCGACGTACTTGGAGTTGATGACATGGCCCGCCGGATTCCTATTAAGGTGCAGGGTAATACCGAAGGGCGTCAGATTAGCCCGATGGCACGACTCCTTCTTATGATTCCATTTGTCGTGTGTTTCTTCTATATACTGAAGGGCAGCCGAGGTGTTCTTTCGCTTGTTCAGCAAACGGACCACCTGGAAATATTACGTGCGACATACATATGGTCAATGTCGATCGGTAGCAGAAGGCGACTTCGTTTTCATGGGCTCGGCTGCTCGGTTTTGTTTGGTTACTCAAGCTTGATATCTCATCAGGCGGCCAGCCTCCAGATGTTTACCTGCCGCCATCGTCGCTGTTGTCTGTAGGTCTGTATTTATGCGTGCCTCCAGTGTGTCTTGTCAGCGTTGCAGTTTCGAGTGCGGCACATGCGTGCGGACAGGAGAAAAAATAAGACGGAGACTCACCTCGTTCGAGTAGAAGGAACGCTGTTGCTGCCGAGTAAGCAAGTGTCTCTGCGCTATAGTGGGTAACAACAACTCTCTGATCTCTTTCTGGCCTTCGTCTCCGTTCGCCGCCACAGTAGTAGTTGCCAAGGAGATATTTAGGATGAAGCATAGTAGCAGTACGATTTCAGTTTTTAGCAACCCCCGACACAGTCCTCGATGCGATTTCGATTCCCGCATTCCAACTTGGCTTGATGATGATGACGACGATAATGATGATGGAGTTGACGGGACGACCGCCGTCGCTGACGTCGGGGACCGCCGCGCCGACGGTTGCTCGGACGACTTCGAAACCGGTTTCGATTCTGGCTTGCCGCAAAACTGATCAGCTAAGGGAAACCTCCTGCCTCGAACGCATTCTTGGCGTCCGCTCAACGTGCTCCATTGTGGTGGCGCTGCCGCTCCGTTTTCCGTCGTGACATCGCCACGAGCACGGCTGATAGGATCACTACGATTGCATTTAACTTCACTATGACGTCGGGGTGGTAATGCTGTTGCTGCTGCGGGTCGGAATTGTCGTCGTTGCCGACTCGGCCTCCGTCCCGATTCTCCCGACCAACTCGAGCCACGAGCACTCCAGTAGTTGCCAGAAATCGACGCAACGCGTCGTCCCGCCTTCAAGGTGCATAGTTGCAGATGTTTATGGGGTTGACCGCTGCTGCGCGAGGCGGTCGGATGAGTCTCGCGATGCTTTTGTGCTTTCCTCGTCGTCTCGGGATTACTTCTCCGCTTTCTTCTTCCGCCGGCGGAATCGATGCATCTCCCGAGATGCAATCGCTTGCCGGGCACTTTCAATCGGGAGGGTAGTTTTTCACCGGTCACCATTGATCTGTCAAACGAATAACCCGTCATCCAGACACTTATGCAATTCAGCATGCCGGCACATACGTAAGTCTCAAGGTACTCGGGTCGGCAGGGAGTGTGGACTCGTTTTCGTTTCCAAGGGACCAAAACGTCGAGCTCTCGACTTTCTATTATTGGATCCCGCGGAGTTGGGCGCCCTCGGAATCTCCGGCCTGCACCGCGTCAGGTTTGTGATCCGATCACGCTCTCCGAGCATAGTGCATTAGTTTTTTTACGGTCAGAACGCCGCGGCGCCCGCTCACTCTGGATCTACACAGCCGGATAAGCCCGTCGGCTGCACTGGATTTATATTCAAAAGAAGTCGGAAAACAGCCTCGGATCCCGCACCTATGTATGTAGATATCCTTCGAGGGATGCTCGGCCGGAATATCAGCCCTGAGGCCAGAAAGCCCCATGGTGCCTCGGGAACCGAATTCCGGAATATTCGTCTGGTTCGAATTGACAGAATACTCACCGTGAAGGAGACCGCGAAAGGGGCTTTCGCGGCGCGTTCGACATCAGCGTGGAAGATGCCTCGGGTGGTGGGCCGAGTCATCTCCCTTGTATATTTGCGTTCAAACTCCGAAACGCGGAACGGAACTCCGATTCTGATTCTTTCGTTCGGGCGGCTTCTGAGGTCGACGAGGAGCTCTGGGATTGCACGTGCAACCGCCCAATTCGTGCTGTTCTTGATCTCTGAAACGCAAAGTGTGGAATGAAGCCAGGGAGACGGGAGGACCGCTGCCGAAGCGACGTAACCTATTATCTACATTTCCTGTCGCGGGGAAGAAAACGTATTTACAGAGAATGAAAGAGAGATGCGAGACGGTCAGAGTCCTGTCGATGGCTCTGCGCGGAGCTGACGATCCCCAATCAATCCAATTGACCATAATAATCCATCTGTTCATTCATCCATCTTCTCTATTTCCCATGAATCCCTATATCGGTCCGTCCGTCGTCCTCTCTATCCAGCCGTCCGACGTGCATCCGTTTCCGAGCTTCCGTTGCTGACTTTGGCTCTGTCTTATCTATTTGTAAGCCTAACCATCCGAAAATGCAGTCGGAATCGCTCAGACGCCTTCCGTTGATTCCACACTCGAACGGCAACCATTGAAGCCGATTCAACTATTCATTCCCTGGGAACAGCGACGGGATAGAATCGTTCGCTCCCCGGCGGAACAAAAGACTCCGGCTGAATTCTTCATAACCCGATCTCTCCGACGGGGTAGCTTTTCTTCGACTCCGTTTTCCCGCCTCGTTTTCTCGCCATCGCATTCTGCCGAGTGTTTCCCACGCCCGGCCGGGTACGCTTGTGAGCTACTGTGAAGGGCGATGCGGAGGAGCTTCTGGTTCGGAGAAAACTGTTTTGAAATATCGGCTTGCAGGTTTTATTCATCTTGGTCTCCATTATTCGATAGTACTTTCTGCGATCGGTAAGGTTGAGAGCTTTCTCCCGGAGGGGCGGAAGATTCATACCGCAAGGTCATAGGAGGCTCTGAAGAACAGGAAGCATATTCGTATTTTCACTCTCGGATTCGATGCCATTCGATCTCCCCATGCTTTTCCCATAGGTGTAGCCTTGAGCCTCATCTAAAGAGCTCTAAGGTTTCTCCAGCCTTGATCCATTCATCCGCATCCTCCTTGACAGGGGAAGACGTTAGCCTCCGACTCGAGTCGCTGCCGGAGCGGCAAAGACTGTCATATGGGATCACCCACGGAGCATCTCGCGGAATTCGTGGGGACCTTCCGGGAGAACCAGGGGTCGCCTCGGAATAATCGCATTGCCCTCCCATTCTCGATAAGTTGAGCTGAGAAATTACACTCCCAATGTGGATGCGATTTCCAATGTTTGGTGATTCGAAGCGAGTCCATCATTGATTTTTCCCGCCGGGTACATTTTCCATACTCGGTCTTCAGCGCGTCTTCTACGTCGCCCCATCATGCACGAGAGTCAAGAATCCCGAGCCCGCAACATGACGAAATGAATTGACAAGGAATTCTCTCTCGGGAAGGAGGGGCGTTGAACGAGCTGTGATCGAGTATATTCGTGAGCAAATGGAACTTAATAGCAAAGACAAGGACGAGAATCATAATAGAAGGTACGCGTAATGTGTGTGTCGAGCGAGAACGGGTAGGGGGGGCGGACCAATGAAAAACAGGAGCGATGGAAAAACATTCGAACAAAATGAGATTAGCTCCGTGTTCGAAGAGGAACAAGCAATTTCTCTGAGTGAGACGATCGGAGTACATCACCGCGACCCAGCAAGAACGGCCGAATGCCCCGGGAAAACAAAGGAGACGGGCCTCGGTCCTCCCGCTCGGCGATCTTGGGTCGAGTCAGGAAACTTTTGCTTGAGTTGCTAAATTCTATCGAGTTGGCGACTCTTGCCGAGGGACATGTCAATGGGGTTGCGCCGACATTAGCATTTTTACAAGCTTTGCAGTTGCGCGATAGAACGATCGGTCAAGTTGTTTGACCGGTGTTTCGAGAGGAATAAATAATTTCACGGGGAGATTCGGCACCAGAGACCGAAAAATGTTCGTTCCAGTGTTGAGGACCCCGATGGGAGACCATTGGAGAGCCGAATGCTCCCGCGTGCATTCGATTCCTCGAAGGGTCAGATGACCGTTGGAGACGTTGATCTTTTCCCTTCGCCGATACAGGACTGGACGACTCCGATCTCCGCGGAAATGTTTGCCGCACACGGCTGTCAGCGATATGGAATGGTCTTCCTCCAGGCAAAAGAACGGCGAACGAATGTGAGCTGCTCATTCGGACATCCCCATGGCGGGCGGAGCTCGGGATCGATGGGGCCGCGAAATAAGTACAGGTGAATGCAGTCAAAATAGAAACAAAGGCGAACAGGATCAGGAGTTCAATTACGTTCGACTGACCGATCACCAGAAATGATCCGGATACGAACTTTGGCATAGCGGAGCCAAGCTCGGCCGGAGTCCGGCTCGCAGGAGGACCAAAAAGAGGAAAAACATCATTCGCAACTTTTTCCCCCGATGACTGTGCAAGCACACACGAACCAGAAATGACGACGATCCTAGAAGGGAGCTAATGATTCGGCGTTTGTAAATAAGTGCTCCAGATATTTCTCTAGTAGGACCAGGCGTTAGATCGAGCGGAGAAAAATCCCGAAGGAAAGCTCAAAGGGGCGGATGAATGAAGAGAATCGATAGACGAGGGTGATTTTTTCCACTGAGATGCCCGATATAAATGTCTCGACGCTCCCCGGATGGGTGGTCGCTTGGACCTGTCGCTCGCATTCTGTCCTCTGAGTGTCGTCTCCCGATGATGTTGTCTCCGTCTTTGTTATGCCAGTCGTTGGGCCGTTTCTCTGTTGTTGTTGTTGCTGTTATTATCACCGACTCGGTTGTATACGGCAGGACAGGCAGCTTGGCTGAAATAGCATAGGGAGCTGGGGCTGCACCGGTTATCGCTTTGTAATTATCCGGCGTTATGCGTGGCCGCACTAAATAAATCGGTGTGGGCACGTACGAAGCAATCGTTTCCACCCGCGCGGCGGCAATTATCTCGACACTCGATCGGAGTAGATTTCATCGATCTCGGGTATGGAACGATCGACCCGCTTCCGGTTTGCCGTGCGAGGGGGATTCGGGCTATCGTAGAATTCAGAAAACAACAAGCATGCGTGTGTTCGTCATCCGAATCATCTCTCACTAACCACCATCATTACGGCGAACTGCGATCCGTAGTGGCGACCGGGCGGCATCAAGCACGGCGGACTCCGCGCAACTGCGTCGCGTGGCGTGTTGCCAATAGCTGGCGAGCACTCATTGACGTCGCCAAAGTTGTCACCGTTTTCGGGGTCCAAATGTGTCGTCGATACGGCAAACGTAGTTTAGTAACCTCGTTGCCATCGGCTCGAGAGACAAGCGACGGGCGAACGAGCGACTGGCGGTAGATCGAGGCAGGGGAGCAAGTAAGCTCATAATCGACAAATCGTCTGCCACTCACCCGATGAGTGGGACACTGACTAATGTTCGAGAAGCTGGCTTGAGATAGCTGAGCGATAGTTCGTCCTCCTCCCACGCTTCCCGATGGCTCTCGCGGAGGTCGTCCCGCAATTTTCCCGAGACGAGTCGCGCCCCGTGCTCCCAAGCCGCCAACAGAGCCGGTGCCGCCCGTTACCAGTTGTCGACCTTGTCTCCAGAGCTTCGAAGCCATCGAGAGGGATGCGTGTGGGAAGAAACGAGAGAAAAAGGAAATTAGAAGAAAGACGGCGCTCCCATGAGGGAATGATCGTCTCTCCCCACGCCGGGTCTCCAAGTTCCCTGATGCAGAGCACCGCTGAACGTTGGCATCG